GAACTGCTGTTGGCACAGTCCTGAACATTAACGGTTGCTACCCACTTCCTCCTGACTCTGGACCATGCTTTTTGGAAATGTCCAGCTGGTGGAAGGGGGCAATGGCAAGCGTGAGCAGTTTGGTTTGCAGGAAAGCCAGAGCCAGAAGCTGTACTCTCCAGCAATGGGATCTGCTGCACGGCAGAAACCAGTCACCTCACCCACCTCACCAGAGGTGATTTAGTAACACTTCTGGCACTACATGCGAGTTTCAAGCCCACAGGACCAGCAGAAAGCGTGAGTTTTTACTTTGTGGGGAATTTCCACACACACAAAGCAGCAGGTTTTGGTGTTTTGGGTTTTTTTTCCTGTGGAAGAAACCAAGACAGTTTCCCATCCAATGGGAAACTGAAATTTAATTTTACAATTGTCAAGGGTTCTGAAGCACGTGAGCTGGCAAGAAACAATATTTTTCTGGGGAACTTTGCCCAGCAACCATTGAATAGTGGACAAACATGACAGATTGATGCAAGAGATGTCGTTGTGCTATACTGAATCAGTGTTTCTGCCTGGAAAACCCGTGGACTCTGACTCCTTTCTTCTTCCTCTCCCTTCTTCACACTCTCCACTTATTTCTTGGCGTCCCAGCAACTTGGTAGCCCTAGCATGAACCTCAAAGGGTGCACAAAAGAAGGGTGCACAAGAGAAGACGCATGGAGGTAGAGGTTTCTTACAGATAGTATTTCAGCCAAGCCATCCCATGGCTGCTGCCCAGGGGGTAAGCTCCCAGTTGCCCAGCTGGGACACAATGAAAAAAGCCATTGTTCTCCCATCTACCATTGAGTTCCCAGGGAGATGTCACTGCCAGGCTAACAAGCACTGGAGGCTTTCTCTCTTGTAGCCAGGACTATGTAGACCTGACAGCTGTCCTGCCATAATACTCGCACTTACTCGGAGACTGAAACCAGAAAAGCTGTTCTGAGGCTCTCCACAAGGGCACAATTCTAAAGGCTGCTAAATGCCGTGATTTCTGGCACTGAACTACTCTTCCAGGCCCCTGCTCAGTGAAGTATTTCTCACTGAATTAAGGGGAATGTAAGTATGTGCTTACGCATTTGGATTAACAGAGAAAGCCTGTTGAATACTGAGAGCAGAGTAGGAGCTCTTAAAAGTCATGTTTTTTTTTCCTAAAAGTATCTGTTATTTATTCCCAAGTCTTTATCTTGTTTATAACAAAGAATGAACAAAATTCCTTTCCCAAGGCTGGATAGTCCTGGAGCATATCCATACCAACAGGGACAAAAATAAGCTTAATTTTAGGCAGATTAAATAAGCAAACACTTCTTAGTCTCTTGACTTCTTTCTCTCCCTTTTGTCTTTTTTATTCCTCACTACACAATAAACCTACGGTTTTACAGCCTTATCCAAAGTCTGCTGAATTTGATGGAACTCCTTCTGTTGGCTTGAATGAGTTTTGGAGCAGTCCTGTAGGCAGAGTATGACAATATCTTTATACAGGTTTCTCATCCACTGTCTAGGGAAAGGAATATTAATTATTAAAACACTGGTCCGGCACACAGCCCCCAAGAACTGTCAGTATTCACTCTACTTTGCAACTTAATTTAAAACTACCCTGTTATCTCTCCGGAATCTTCTTTAGGAACATAAAATCTGTAAAAGATGAATAGGTTTCCAATTTCTAGCCCATTTTATATACAACCTTCAAACCATAATTGCTTCTGAAGCACATCACACACAAAGGCAAGTATACAAACAGTAATTTCCAAATATTATAATAAACCATCTATAAAATGAACGTGCCCCAGTTCGGAAGGATGCAATAAGGATGTTTGCCGCTGGTGATTTTGTCGCTGGGGAAGGCAGAGCCTGACAAGCTGGAGGTGGCGAGGGCTGCACATTCGCACAAGCGAGAGGCAGCACCAAGCACTGGCAGGGTAGTGCCCTGGCCTCTTCCTCGATGAATCCAGCTGAATAAGTACCCGGCTTTGGCGAGACAGAGGAACACTAAGTGCCCTTATGCCCCTCTATTTCAGCTAATGAAGTTCACGTGAATGGGCTGGAACATTTTTGCCACCATGGCCCTGATCCAGCTGTCACTGCTGCCACGAGGGACCCTGCTGGAGGGTAGCTGCGGAGGTGACTTTCACAGTGGGACAAGCTCCTGGTCTCTGTGCCACCCGAGTCCCACCGACAGATGCATTTCACTGTTCGACTATTTTTCCAGACCCTTACGTGCTACCTATGGAAACACTTGGCCTCTAGCGTGTCATACCGGGATTACATGACACTGAGTCAACGAGAAGCCTCCTGAGCTCAAGTCCCCATCCCCATACTAAAAGCAGAGGGGTACAGGCGGATCTGATTCATACATATATTGTCGTAGTACTCAACACACAAGCAGATTGTGACTTGTCATCTAGAACTAAAAGGTATCGATACACAGACACACAATGTGCTTTTGCAAAATGACAGAAAAACTGTTCTTTTCATGTTACCTCAGTGCAAACAGGACTGCGTTTTGCCTTTAAATAGCTACTGCTCTAAGAGACATATTATCATCAGGTAAATGAATTTGCTACCCATATTTAATCACTGTAAATAAAAGAAGCAGACCAACCTGCGTATTTTTTTCTTTTTTTTTTTTTGAGTTTGCATGCTTAATACAGAACTAGTAGGTTTAAAATCTCACTGAACATTCTATGTGAATTAACCAGATTCTAGAGTAATGTGGAAAGGAAAATAATGAAAAGTACAGCTTTTCATTTAAACATATGTATCTCTTTTCATGCAGGGTTTTCTTCTAAGTTTTTTTTCCTTTTTTAAAATTACACTTTGCATTAAAGAACATAGCCAGTGTAAACAGAGTCTGTAACACTTATAAAACAGTGCAAATTTTGTAAATTTCTGGGAGAAGGTTGAAATACATATATTTATAATGGAGGTAAAATCACTTTCTTTCTCAGTAGAAAAATACATATATTAAACACCTATATGTTCCGAACTTAACTTCACAAAAGAGCAAGTTATAGTCCTATACTGTGTAATAAATTAGTATCTTTTCTAGATTTCCATTTTCAGTGTTAGTGTCAAATGCATAATAATGCTAGAAAAAACAAGAGAAACTCGTATTATTTAGAACCTAATGAAAACCTTACAGATAATAACTGGTGTAAGAGGGCACAGAATAAAGAACTGGGGTAAGAAGCAATGGAAAAATACCGACCTCTATGAATTATTGCACATTTGAGATCATTCTCATGGCCTCTGGGCCAATTCTGGATACTTTTAAGTCTTAGGTCAGTGTTTGTTTCCATGTGACTGTAGGGTACAATTTAGGAACCACTGCAAAATGTCAAGGATTTACTGAACTTGTTTGCTGATGAAACCACAGGCAGCTGAGCGCAGAGCGCTAACTTTTATTCATGCAATCAAAGAGAACAACGCTAAAAACATACCGAAATACAGGCCAGGTTGCCTGCCATAAAAATCTTTTTGGGAACTTGCTCCAGCCGATCTTATTGAGACAAAACTCTCATCTCTACTGTGTTTTCATTAAAGCCGTGCCAAAAACTGCAAAACTGGCTTCCGCCTTCATTATTTAGAGCTTTTTCCTCGAATGCTGTTGTCTCCATGTTCTGACTCTGCAAGCCTTGATCAACTGGGTAAGGAAATCTCCATGAAACATACGGGTCCAAAGAAAACTCAACTCGCTGAGTAGCAATGCCTGATGCGGAATACCTGTGTAACACTTCTCATCTGCAAGCAGCAAGAATGCTTTCCATGAAAGATAAATGACAGTATCCTATTTGACTGATGGGGTCATGCACATAAGAAATGCAAGACCTTACCAGCTGCTTAAAAATATCCCTTTTCGCTAGTTGCACAGAGAGCAGAAATATTCCTGCTTCAGCCGTATTTAAAAGGTACGTAAATTGACAAGTAGATAAACAGAGAACTGCCTCGCGTGATTAACACGGCGATAGAAGCCAGACTGCTAGTAAACCTGAATCATTTAGAACTTAATCTCTGAATATTGCTGTAGTAATTATTTTCTATTGCTGATGTTCTCACAAAAAGGTTAATTTCAAATTGTAACTACTGATTTTGGAGAAAAAAATCCTATGTAAAATTACATTGCCTTTACTAAAAATCTTAAAAGAGCTCAAGAGATCTTAAAAAATTTCAAATTAATGAATTGACCGATAGACAGATAAATTTATACTTAAACTGTTTAAATCAAAGTCATTAAAAAACTGCAAAAAATTGTGAAATAATCTATAATTGACAGGAAAATTGTTTAAAATCCTCTTAAACATCTTCTGATATTCTAGTAACTTAATAAAACCACATTGCTAAGCATTGACTATGAATACAACATGCCTCAATAACAAAATTAAGAGATGCTGATGTAAGCAGGTGATTTATTCTGCAGCAACTGTTACTATGCACTTTATTGATAAAGTGATCTGCATTGTTTCAGATGGTCATCTTCTAAAATGTTTTTGTGAGACAATGTTACCGGGAAGCTTTCCTCCTTCCTTTTAAGAATGATTCAACCCTTGTGGTCTGTGCAGGAGATAATAATTTTCATAGCATGATAAGAATTTCAAACTGTACTGAAGTCTATATGAAAAACCCAACAACTTCCATGTATTTCAAATACTATTACTTAAATGCGTATGGATTTTGGAGATCATATACAGTGACCTTTTATCCATCCCAGATTGTAAACCTACTGTAAAATGATGGGATGTGTCTTCTCTATCCCCCCTCCTTTTTAAAGAAGCAATAAAACTGTACATTAAAAGACAGGAAGGACATTACTGAGTTACAAAAGAATGCCCCCTTTGTCAATAATTTGTAAATGTAAACAGTAGAAAAGCCAAGAAGTGTGCTGCTGCTTCAAATATGTTGTCTCACCCCATGGGGTTAGGGCAAAGTTCTTTAAAAATGTGTCTTCATGGCGGTCATGAAGCATCTTGAAAGAGTCCTGATCTTCACTACCAAATATCACTGGTAAAGCTAAGCTCCTTTGCTGATAAAGGTAGCAATGGGTTGTTCCTGTGAAACTCTTGGGGATCCTTCATGGTATTGTTAAGAGGTAGCTGTCCATTTAGTAGTGTCAAAGGTATGTTACAGTATGTGTGATGGTTGCTTATGGAAGCTATTGGCAGTGTTGCTGCTGACACATCATATTCGTATCCTCTGCAATAATGTCTCATTTGCACAGAATCTGCTTGATGGTAATCAGTTAAATCAGCCCGTGATTCTACCAACGTGGCAGAAGTGCCTGTGACGGCAAGAGAGGGAACAGTCTGGAGGTCTCCGAAAAGGCCCTGCTCTGCAGAATCCAGGACCTGATGCCGAGACACCACTTCCTTTTTCTTCCCTGGCATTTCAAAGACTAGGCGCTTCCAAAATTTAGAATTCAGTTTGCTGCTTTTTGGTCCTTTCCACTTGACCACTGAGAGAAGTTTGATGGTGTGCTTTAAAGATTCCACTTCGTGGTAATTCACTTTCCCTTTTAATTCAGTACACTCAATCAAAATAACTTTGATTTCTCCACTGACTAGCATGTTATGGAGTCTGTTTTCCATCTCAAAAATACTCCATCCTCTCCTGAGAACATAGTCTGGAGTTAACACGATAATGAGTCTTCTGCTTTGTTCAACACATCTTGTGAGATCTTCAATGTAGGCTACAAATTATAGAAAGAGAGAAAGAGTAAAGAATAAAGAAGTCTATTGTATCAAAACATCAGGCTTGCAATCAAGTATAACAAAATCCTACAGATTACTGATCCACACCATTTAAGACAAGGGGTATTTCACAATAGACTCCAACAAAAATAGGATTGTGTATCACAACATATTTCTATTTATGGAGCACATATAGAAAACTCCTTAATAGCACCCTTCATCCTTTACTGTTCTTCTCTGTTCATCTCAACAGAATGACATTTACATAATATCCTCACTGTGTAGATGCAGTAGTGACAAAAAATACACAGTTCACTTACTGGAAAAAATATAGGTCGAGATCAATGTAATGTTTGTGTGAATTTTAACATTAATGCTGGTTATGATTAACATCACATTGAGGAAAGCACACTCTGGGAAGCAGTTCTTGTGTTTCAGACGCAAGGACATGAGGGTGCTGCAGGGTGTATGAACTGTTGCTTGCAAGAGCTCAAAAAGAAATAAACCCTCATCACATGCACAACTTGTGCTATTGCATAGAAGCATCATGGTAGCTCTTTCTTCTTTAGGTATCGACCACGAAAGCATAATAACGTTCTTTGTGGTCCAATGGTCTTATTTAACATCACAAACCTGTGCTTCTATGTACCCCAAGGTATTAACAGAAACTTCAAAAGTGACGGGAACAAATGGGAAATTTAAACATATTGGAGGTGTTTACTTGTTGAGACATCAGTGACAAAGAAAATAGTATTCTTCTTTTACTCATGCATGCCAAGCAGTTGCAAACGATCAGTGTAAGCAGAAGTGCCAGCCCCATCATTAGCTCCATGATGTCAGCTTTTTGAGCTACAAAATATTCTTGAAGTTGGACTTGGACTCTTGAGTTTCACTTGCCCCAGGCATGGTAGGGAAGAGAAGCCAGTTACACTGGTCTGACATGGAACAGGATGGGAAAGAGATCTACTTACAGAGCTGGTCCAAAACCCATTCAAATAAAGAGACTTCAACACAATTTCAATGGGTTTTGGGTCAAGACCAGAATAATGAAATAACTTGGAAAAAAAACCCCACTAAGGTCAGAAAAGTGTTCACCGGTTGCACAGCATTGTGATTGTGAGCTTAGAGACAGGATATAATTTTTTTTCTTTTTAAAACTACATGAACCTCTTGATCATGCTACTCAGAATGTGCCACCTGACAACAGAGGAGAAGCATGTGTTATAAATGAAGACTTGGACACAAGAGCTGCACAGAACAGATCTTTACTCAGCACAGGGCAGGGCCTCTCTTACACACATTGCCCTCTAGCAGGAGCAACGATTACAAATAACATCATTAATCAACATCTGTTACTGCAAGACTCATTTTTATAGTCCCAGGCACCATACCACAGCATGCTTATTCACACCACTTCCAGTAAAGTAAATAGCTACAAAATAGGCCAACAGGAACATTCTAAAATAGCTTATTTTCATGAGACGGAAGGCATAGTTAGCATCAAATCTGCCTTTACCAATGTTTTATTTCACCACTTAGCAGCAAGAAGAATTTCTTTCACAAATGGAAAAAAGAGGCAATTGCAAACATCCCACAGACACACAAAAATTTAAGACATACACATACATTACAAATGTCTATGCAACAATCCTGACTTTTAGTTAATGTTTTATGACTCTTTAATCATGCAGCATTTACATTTTGGGTTTTTTTTTCTTAAAATATTTCATGAGGAAAACCCCCACATTGCTCTGTGCGAAATAGTTACTCATTAATGAAAAAAATTCAACATTAAAATCCATGGGAGAGGCAGTGGAAAGAGGAGAGTCAGCAACAATGAGAAAATGATAAGCAGAACTGGTGAAACAAAACTTAAGGAAAGGTAGAAATGTTCAATACAATGGAAAGAGATTATCCCAATGTATCAACAGCTCAGACTCTTCATTTTCTTCCTTTCTTTCTGCTCCCAAAAAGAAAGAATTTAGGTGGGAAGCTTCATCATTAGAGGTTGAATCTGCAAGATACAGTAAAACAACAAACTATCATGCATCTTTCCTGAGACATATTCATCCCTCCTTCAAACAGCTCAGAACACTGCTATGTACAAGACAGTTCTCTGCAGGACACGATACCGGTCAGTACCACATATCCAGGTCAGTGCTAAGCACAGCCATGCATATACTATATGCATCCAATTAAAAACAAAACAAACCAGCAAAGCAAAAAAATCACTCCACTTTCATTCTCTTCAAATATCCAGCGGCAATAATTTCAATAGCAACAACTCAGCAATAATCCGTTATACCATCTCAATCAAAAACTCACCAGACTCTGCTTTAGTCAAATAGGGAATGAGGCGGGAAGAAGACAGGAAAAATTCCCTATTTCCTCAGATGGATACTTCTCCCCTCTGTGCCCTTCCCATACTTTGGCATGCCCACCTTACTTACTGCATGTTGCAACAAGTTAGAGCTCTTTCTACGGCCGACTACACAGACACCTTCACAAATGACCACTAGGTGCTCCTCCAAATTCCAGCTTTGCAGCTGATAGACATGGCCAATGTACAGGGGGTTTGTTGGCGCACTCAGGATAAAATACACTGTATTATATGAAACTGGAAACCCAAATGAAAAGGCAAACGCATTTTCCAGCCATCTGGTCCAGAAGTACATACTATTCCCAATAACTTCAGTTTGGGACTGCTACTAAAGGTAGGTGATAAACACCCTGGAGCACATGGTTCCATTGATGCACTCTACACTCCGTCCAATGTGCACAACCTGAACAGTTCTGCGAGGAAAAGCATGGGGGGACAGATTCCCGTCTGTGGAAATTCAAGCTTTATTTTTTCCAGTGGTACCAGACTGACTGCATAAAGCTTTGAGTTGCTAAGTCACCCACCCTCCTTTCACTTCAGAATTTGAGACTGATCAAAATACCGCAGGTGGAGTTGCCTGTCGTGTCCAGTCCATTAGAACGTATTAAATCCAAGCAATCTATATCGCAATGTAGGATGGAGAAAGGGTTGATTTCACCTTTCCAGTGAGCCAAGAAGTAATTGTCAGGCAATGGCTCTGTTTCACTTTCAAGAAAAAAACTGAGCAGGGATATCAGGAATGACATCACCAGCTAGGATCAACTGTAAGATGCCAGGCCAATATACTTCCGTCAGATAAGTATAATTTTGCTGCAAATTCACTTTTGCTGCAGGAGTATCAACTTCAATGATACTTCATTGTGAGGGGAGAAAAAAGTCTTCCTGACAGAATCAGTATGGAATTACTTGGTTTTAATTCCCAAAGATTTTATTTTATCATAAAGTAGGATGTAAAAATAAAATATCAGCATTAGAATTAACCCACTTGATTTTATTGAAAAAGAACTTTTTAAATTTTGACCCTTTCCCCCCCCCTTGAAACACCATTTTGCAATATGGCACCAAAACTGTTTTCAAAATGTGAGCATTCCCACAGGTCAAAAAATTAGAATTATGAGTAGCTCCATCAGTAATTTACTTGCATCGTGTCCAATGCAACGCCCAAGGAGGTATGGACAGCAAGAACTTTCAGACCCATAAACATAGTTTTTGCATGGTTGCCCTTTAGTAATGAAGACCGATCACCTGACAGCAAATATGTGCTCACCAAACACTGTCAACATGTAACAATGCTGAACTGTAGTTTGAAGCACTGAAGAAGAGAAGCCCAAGACACGCACCCCATTTGCAATTAAATCATGCGTAACTGCCTATTGAATCTTGAATGCGCTACACTAACCACAGGCTGGAAGGAAACCCAGACAACCTAATATGCAAACAGACTAGAAGCAAGGAAATCCATGAACACCACTGACACAGAGTTGCTTACACAAAGAAATGACTGACTAACCAGATTCAGATGATTTGCAGAAGCAGTTGAAGGAGAGGGAAAAAACACCGGAAATCATACGAAGTCCTGCGGATATCTTTGGGAAGCATGGTCTGCAGCACCACAAGAACCAAAGAGTATCTACCATCAACCCCATACTGGCTGATTCCTGGCACTCTGAAAATAACCAGCCTTTCTGTGTTTTGGCAATGTGACTATCACTTGAGAAAGTTATTTATAGAAGAATAACTCAGTCCTGGTTTCCTAACTGCATAGTTCCCAAACCCTAACTCCGGTTACTTCATTGTAATAAAAATGATTGCATGTCTTGCTTTTCCTGTTTATTAAATATCTGTTTCTTCTGTTATCCCAGACCAGAACAGCAATGCCATTGGAACTGCTGAAACACAGAGCGGAGTGATGGTCACTCCCCAGAGAGAGCTCAATCCCAGTATAACCAAGGGACAGCCAACGCGTTCAACATAAACAAATAATGCAGACACACTGCTCTCTCAGCATACCATTCTCTCAGCCATTGTCAGACTTTCTGTATTTGACATGGCAAAGGAAGGAGGGATTATGGAGAATGAGAAGATGGCAGCTCTGGGGATATCTCCTTGCAGACTGAAGTCTGAAGTGGGTGATTTTGGTCAAATTGTTTTGGCTATAGTTGTAGGCATCAAAAGTCTGGATCAAAGATTCATAAAGTTATACAGGTTAGAAGGGGGCTCTGGAGGTCTCCAGGTCAATACCCTGCCCAAAGCAGGGCGAGCTAAGATCGCTCAGGGTCTTGGCCAGTACAGTTGTGAAGACTTCCAAGGTTGGAGGGTTCTTCTCAGTGTCTCTGCGTTCTGTTCTAGTGTCTGACTACTCTCACGGTGAGGAAAATTTTCCAAATGTTTAAATGGAATTTTCAGTATTACAACTTGTACCTGTGGCCTCTTGTTCAACAACTGTACACCTCTGAGAAGAGCCTGTCTCCATCTTTGTGCTTTCCACTGGAAAGACAACAATAAGACTCCTCATTGGCTTTGTCTTTGTTGGCCTTTTCTTCAAGAGATACAGTTCGTTTGGGCTCTCCTCGTATACTGCATGATCCAGCTCCATGAGCACCTTGGTGGCCTTCAGTGGGCTGTTACAGAGTAGCCAGCCTTTCCGGCTTTTGTTCATGTTTCTTCCACTTTCAACTGTCATTCCTCTGTATCTCTGCTACCCTTGGCCATGCCTAGCATTAAGTATAAGATTCATACAGAGTAGACAACGAGGGAGTTCTAAAAGGGGTTTGCGGAGCCAGGTACTCTATTCCCATTCCACATAAATGGTGTCCCATACCTAACTTAAAGCTGGTTGGGAACTCCATGCACACAGTCCATGTGGGTTTTCTTCATCCAGGAACCCAGGAAGCTGGAATTCACCACGCAAAAACCACACAGATGGGCAGACAAAACTACAAAGTGCCAGAACTGCAATATTGACTGTTGGGTGCTTTTTATCACATGCCTTAGGTGCTCTCCTGTTGTGCTGACAACTTCTCATTTTTCAGGTAAAAGCAAAGATTTTTATTCCACCACCGTTGTTCTTTTCAGTGCCTGATCTCTATACCATGGGCTGAGCTGGAGTGAATTGCCGGTGTTTTTTCATTCCTGTCAAGATCAAATGCTTAGAGAGCAACTAGATGATGCTCTAATAGATTTGTATTGCTGGTATTAAAAATCCAGCTTGACAGTTTCGACCTCTTCACTTTCAGGGTTTAAAATAATTTGCAGAAACCATGTGAGAAAAATATCTTCCTCTGATATAGTCCCAATTTTAGAAGAGTCAATTGCAAGAAGATCTTTCTTTCTGTAGACACATCATCCTTAGCAAGACAGAAAATGGTTCAGGTAAAAACATAACTATTCCTACCTTTCCCCCCTACCTCTTCAGTCTCCTCAGGTCTCCTAACACTGAATTAAAAAGCTCACAGGACTTAAGAATCTGCTTGCTTTGAGAAAGGGTTTGTTAAAAAAGCCCTGAAAACTAATAGGGTGGAAAAAATGATAATTTCTAAGAAACTTCAGTATCGACTGCAACTGTATCTTAGGGATCACAGTCTCCTTGTACAGGCTAGCATGTTCAATTATGCCTTCGTTACCTAGACAGAAAGGTGTATGTGCTGTCATCTTTGACAGAATGAAGAACACTCACTCTGTTAAGACCAAAAAATATTCTTTAAGAATGCTATAGTACTTCCTATAAAATGCAATTCAAATCCCAGGTCACAAACTTCATCTTGCTGCTTACACAGCACACTGCATGTCGTGTCTCCCTGCCATGTCGCCCCTCTCATCTTCCAGCCTGCATGGCCACGGATCTCCTGCATGAGCAAGTGCACAGCAGCAGTGGCTGCTTGACCCCTGATTCCACCTCGCCAGTTCGGGGAGCCATGTCCATCTGTGCTGCTCCCAGGCAGCAGCAAGAGCCATCACAAAGGTCTTTGCTAGCCACCTCGGCATACTTCCCGGTGGTTCCCACTAGGACAGAACGCTCCACTGGGATAACATTTGTATCCCGCTAGAGCACAGAAACCAACACCTACTGCGAAACATGACTCAGCCCCATCTGACCTGAACTCTGGATGCCAGGGATCTGGTTCACAACAGTGAAGAGGTGGCCTCAGTCCCCACAGACATCACCTCTGTCCTCCTAGGGACAGCAACAGTTGCTCCATGGGCATCCCTGAAACAGATGGTCCTCAGCGCAGAGCCGAAATGCAGAGCTCGGATATGCAGTGTGAAGGAGCTCGCTGCTGGGTGCACGTGTCCCAGCTAAGGCACATCTGTCTGTAATCTCTCCTTCAGTCGCACAGGGACATGCAGAGCCTGTCACAGCTTTTCCCCAGAGGTTAGAAATGAACCAGCTGGACAAAAACATAATCAAACTTGTCCTTGAATTTTTCCGAAGTCAGCTTTTTAGTTTGTTCAGAGAAGTGTGCAGGAAAGTTCATGAAATACTATTTAACAAATCTATTTTTTGCTTGCTCTCAAATCCAAGTAGCAGCTGTATGTACTGCTTCATGCCAGGAACCAAGTGCAATAATGCACACCCTCCTGTGGCAGCACCTTAAAATTACAGAGATAATACGAAACAACCAGCTTTACAAATCACACCTTATTTGCTGTACTAGTGCAATGGCACACGTTTAAGTACACAAGACACAGAAGGAAACACATTCTCTATGAGAATAGAGAGTGGGAAAGCATTACATTACATCGAAAGTAATGTACACCAAAATATGAGGAAATGCGGTACATGTAAGAAGAGGTATCTCCTAAAATCAAAAGACAGAACTGTGATCAAATCCCCATTTTTCTATAGAAATCTACCCTGAAGAGCTATATATTTTGTCACATCATCCACTTTTTGAGACAGTCACTCTAAAATATGTTACGTTTATCTCTGAAGTTTCTAGCAGGTCCACACTACACCACGCTGCCTGCTCTCTTCACTAAGCACTGCAAGTCCCCGTAAGACCGGCGAGCATCAGGCAGAACACAGCCACGTTCCACTTCTCCAGCGCACACAGAGAGCTTACAAATACAGGAGTCTGAGCCTTCCCTCCTTCCTCATCACCTCTCTCTCCCACTTGTCCCCTCAGAATAAAGTTACTTCCCCTATATCTTATTGAAAGCTAAAGCATGCAAATCACACTCATTTCAGTTCCAGATTTTATTCTGCGTTGCCATTATGTCTGATCAAGCATTCTTGAAACTCCACGTGTTAGAATCAGGCCCTTTCATAATACTGAAGTGAGTTTGAGAGGGAAAAAGAGGTGTTAAATCTGTGAACGTTCATAAATGAGAACTGACATTTTCAGGTACCCTACATTTTCAGGAGAGGTTTAATGAATACCCAAAGTGATGACAAGTATTTGCTGAGTGCCTGACTGACAAAAATAGACAAAAATAAAATACCATGCTGGCTGGTACGGCAATTAGAAAGAAGAATCTAATTTCAGATTAATCTGTGCTTCAGTATAGTTACCTTTGAAGGGCTAGCTTTAAACTCTTTAATTCATTTGTATAATTGCTATGTATAACTCTGCTACATTGTTGGACATGAAACAACTATTTACAACAGTTCTGTGATTTTTAACACAAAAAGATATGTTTTCTCTTAATAATATCTAAAAATTCAACACTGCTTGCTTGTGCTGTCAGAAATAAGAAGTCCCCTTTCTGGAATATATCACTAAGAGAGTAAAACTCACACCTTGCAGGGGCAGGGCAAAAGGAACAGGGGAAGCAGCTCTAACCTAGGAGCTGCAAATGCACGTGATAAATTCAAACCACTACACAGGACTTTGCATGATCTCTGACTAGGCTCTAACTCCTCTTTCCCAATGGTACAGGATTCAGAGCTCTGTTTCCAGCTCCCTCAAATGTCAAAGAAGTAGGCTGCAACTTCTGGGGCAGCTACTGGGGTTTGGCAGCAGCAAGGCAGCAGTTTCAAGTCTTTTGGCAGGCAGGTTGCTAACGCAGCCATGTTCTAGCTGCTTAATGTTTGGGGACATCTGCTCCAGCACAGCCATTGCTTTGTTTTCTTGTTCATATTTCCTATACAGTAGCATACAGAGAAGTTCATACTCCTTTCTAACATTTTTCATGGAAGTGATTTGTAGATAGAATTCCTAAAAAAAGCTTATTTTTCACAGGAGTATTAAAGCAAACATACTGTGCATTCAAAATACACCAACATGATGCATATGATTCATGGTCTTTTTGGACTTGTCCAAAAATTAAGCTGGAAGAAGAGATGCCATAACTACAGCTAGAAAGGCATGAACTGTTGGTAGAGACATCCAAAGGTGCTGCTGAATCTTCAGATATGGCAGCAACACTGATTTGAAACAGACAACTGCATATCACCGTCAGCATGGAAAACAGCATCGGACCACTGGGCTGTACACAGTCCTCTGAAGAATTAGCATTACTTACACAATAACCAATCACTTACACAATACCAACACTGCTCAGAAATGCAACACTTGGTCAAAACGCTAATGAAAAAATTGCACCTATACCATTAATTGGGAAACTATTGTAGCTATTTATGAGACTTCAAAGTTAGGAAAAAAGCCAAAAGACAATGGGAGAGATTACTTCTACTTGTAAAGCTGCTGTAGACAAACAAATAATTACTGGAAAAAAATAATTCAATTTTCAATGATAAAACAGAGACTACAAAGTCTTTTTTGGAAGTTTCCTGCTTAGCTACCTGTGTCTGATGTAGAGGTTTTGGGCTACGGTATGGCTTGCAGCACGGCAGCCTTCCCTGTAGGAAGGTCCAGCTCCTGCCTCCACTGAAATCAACGGCAGTTCACTCTGATTTCAGTGGCGCAGGAACAAGCTCTAACCTAGAGCTCAGATCTGCACTGCTGAGGAAACTTTTCCAACCCTTGTAAGCACTTAACAAAGACAGGTTTCCCATATCTAGTACTTATCACACAGTCCAGGCCTTCATAACACATCAGAGAGAATTAAAACTGAGAAGTCAGAAATACTTACTTCCACTAGGGATCAGGTCCCTATCCGGAATGAAGAGCTTATATCCATAGTGCTTTTCTAGAACATCTGGCAGAATTTCAAGTGCAAACTGCTCCTCTTCATTATTATCACAATCTAATGCATCAGGATCCACTTTGGTGTATGAAAGATATGCATCGTATTCCTTGTTGTCTGTAAGAAAACAAATTCACGTTCAGCCTTTGCTGAAGCAAGTTCGCAAGAGCACTATAAAGAATGTAGGAAAGTACTCGGAAATCATATTATTCCTTGAAATGATCAAGCATTTCCCAGCTAAGTTGGGACTTTTCACAGGAACATATAATCTGGCTTCCACAGAGAAATCTGTCAGATCCAGACAAAGCATATCCTTTCAGTTTTCTTCTGCATGTTGAGCTAGTTAGCAGCTCTGCTTCATGTGGTCAGTGTAGGCATTTCACATCTGAAAAGATCATGGACAAAATTTTGATACAAATACTAAAGCTGGAACTTCTGATTTTAATCCTTTACGTATTGCTAATGGAAATCTTTCTTTCAACTCCTGCCTCAAGAGTGCTATGATTATGCGAGAGTTTTGAGCTTGGAAAAGTTTTTGAGTCTGGAAAGTTTTGAGCAAGGAAAACTTCCTTGCACAAGTAATTGTGAGAAAACACATGATGTAACGGAGATGAATACTGATTATGCAGAAACCAATGGCAAATACAAACAGTCCAAAGCACTTTTTTCAGAAGATCTTGTAGTTTTTAAAACCGGTATCATAATTTTAGAGGTCACTTGAACCAGGACATTTTAGATACTTGGGACTCACAGTATGAGAGAAATAACTCCAAGAGCAAATGAGGTACAGGTGAGACTTGCCCCTCCATTCCGCCTGCAGCTCCAGGGGTGGAGGCAAAGCCTCATCAAAAGGTGGAGGCAGGCAGTGGGTGACAGAGGGGACCCAGGCAACACCACATGAGGACAGTGGGGCTGCAACACAGTGCCTTGGCAGGAATGGGCAAAACACCTCCTCCTCCTGCACAGCACTGGGGCTTCGCGCCGGCTCTCTGCATCCGAAACACAGAGCTAAGAGCTGGCGACTGTGCCGGGAACAGAAATGGCACCACTACTAAGCTCGGGATCCGTGCTGGGATCAGACTGTCTTAGTGACATTTCTCTTTGCTATTCCTCTGCAGAAATGGAAAACAGTATATTGAAAAAGTCAACTTTCAGCAATTCAGTCTCCAGGGAAGAGCACAGCTGTCATTATTTACAGAAAATGAAAAATGAAATAGTTAATGTTGTGAGGACAAAGCTGCATGAATGGAGGATTGCTGAGTACCAATTATCTGTAAAGAATAGTGCACACGAAAGATAATTAAAGCAGTCAAAAAACCCAGTATATTCTGATAAAAAGAAAAAATAGCTAATCTTAATACAATACATTCTTTGATGACCTTGAAATGATGGTTACTTTCTTATAATTCTTGACGCAAAGCCAGAGCTACAGAAAAAGCACGTAAATAATTATATGTTTGTAAAAGGCAATTTGCCTAGTGCCACCATAGCTGTACAGGAGGATGTCCATCTGGTTTGCTGGTATTTCTCTGAAATCAACAGCATACAAAAATAGTAGCTACTGATGGAAAGATGACAGAAGAACAAACAGCAGAGAAATAAAGGCCAGTCAGCTTTGGAGGCCTGTCCAAAACGTGCTACCTTGTCCGTGATGAAGCCTGCCAAAACCTTTTAAGAGAAGCCAGCCACCAAGTGATCTGGGAGACAAACATCCCTGCAAACATTTGAGAGCTCTGCAAAGGCAGCAAAGCCAGAGCACTGACATGCCTGGCTGCAAAGCAGCGCGAAAGCTGCGCACGGATTGCGTGCAAGCAGTCCCCGAGCTTCCCACCCCTCCCAGCCGCGTGGGTTCCACTGCCCTCTCCAGTCACCTCTACCCACAACACCAGTAAGCAAGACATAGACAGAACCAGTTCCCTTGGGCTCCTCTGAGTCCGTACGCTTGCGTTACACCTCTACAATCTCGACTCCCTCACAGGCTTCACGTACACAGGACATAGCAGAAGGACCTACCCATGCTTGCCCACCACTTGCTCTGTGTGCTTTAGATGCAGCACTGTTTGCAGCCTTTTTCTAAATGGCTTCCCTTAGTCCTCAGTATCATTTTCTCTAAAAACAACGCTATGCACAACACAGGAAGTGAATGCATCCAACATTGCTTATATAGGATATTTTCAGAAATAGGAATAAAGCAAATCTGTTGAGTTTCATATCTTCTATTGTAGAGAAATATATGTATAAATGGAAAATGACCCTGCAATTGCATCTACACAGCTGACTGCTCATGGGAGCTCTGTATGTTCCCACTATAGCCTACGTAAGTAGAAAAAACCATCCCTGTACATGCTTTGACTTCAGGAACATTCTGCCTCCATCTTTCCTTCTGCAGGATCAGAATGAGACACAAAGCTGCAATAGTTCTGAAATCATGCACTGGAAAAATAAAAGGTTGTCTCCAGAATTAACATGCACACAAAATCCCCTATGTACTCATGTTGCTTCCTCTAAACAGCTAGAAAATAATATCGTTTCATAAATTAAAAAGTGATTGAACCAAGGAAGTTACATGAATAAAAATGCAGCAGATTCACGCTGAAAACGTGATAGAAATTAATCAAAGCAATCTGGAGGAAGTTGCCACTTTGGGTCACTTTTTGTTGGTGTGAACCAGGGATGTTGGTATATTCCCAAGGTGTTAGAGGTAAATTACTTCCAAAACCACGTAATCTCACCCTTCGCTTTCTCCTAGGTATCAGTATAAATATTATGCAGTATTGTATAGTATGAAAAAAAGCATCATTTTAGGTTTTCCCGCTCACACATTAAGATCGAGAAGGAGGAAGGTTCCTGACCTCTATTCCTGCTATTTATCATTCCACGTTCTAAAATTCCCTAGATGTCCTTCCACCCGTTCTCCAAAACTCCTATGGATTTCATTGTAGCGAAACATTTTCACACCATATCTACCCAGTGTTAAACAAAAGCATTTGTTATTTTGATAACAGTACTGCTAACTGCAGAAAGTAACAGGTCTGTGCAACTGCACATTGTTTTGGTACAAGAGGGGAAATGTGTTCCCTGCTCTTTTTTCAAATACACTATTTTTTCTAGATACACCGTTCCAGACTGCCTACATGACTCATAAGTGTTGCAGTGGGCTATGAGAAGTACCTGTACTTGAATATGGTACTTTAGCAGATACGAGTTATATGCATATTAATAACATATCCATTATGCCATAATAGAAGTGTTAAGAATATAATAATAGGATTTAAAGGACTTGGATTTAAGTTTACCAGTGCTTACTCCAGCTTTATAGTATGGTCTATATTCAGGAGAATTAAAGATTCAATTTAAAAATACATGTTTAGTTTTAGGCACCAAACAGAATAAATGACAGTGACAGAGGAAGGTGGGGGAAGAACACTGAAAACCAGCTTAGTTTATTCCTAAACATGCTCTCCAGGCAAGCTGTACATTTCCACTAAGTTGTTTACAGTCTCCCAATTAACTGAGGTGACTAGTTAGCCTCAACAACAATCGCCTCTCACTAGTTACTGGAGTTAGTTGGCAGCCTGAAGACAATTCAATGGAAATGTTTAGTGAAGAGTTCTCCTGAGGAATCGGTTCACAAATGACATTCAAGCCTCTCTATAGACTCATGAACAATTCTTCTGACTCTATTTGCTTATGGCATGGCCTACTGACATTTCAGTGAAAAGACTCATTGATTTCAGGAGGCTTTGGGAGAAAGTCTTAGGGCTTTACATTGTTGGGTGTTTAGTAGTTTGAACTTAAACTGTCAGCAAGTATCTTTTGGGATTCATTTCAATCTAGAAGTTTCATTGGGTGTCTGAAATATTTCCATTGCATATATTGAGTTTCCTGAGCAACTGCTTACCATCAGCTGCTTCGTCTCCTCCAAAGTTCTGTCTGTAGAACAGCATTAACTCTATGTTGTAGCACTTATAGATGGTCACGAGCAAAATAAGCAGAAGAAGGATGGCTCCCAGTCCTCCAGCAAGCTCTATTTTGTAGATCAAATCTAAAATTAGCAAGGAAAGACAAAAAGGTTATGATCTTTCCGAGCTTTATTTGCTCTGATCCACTGTACAATTCCACATAAAATTGTGCAGCTTCCAGTTATAAACACTGTAACATTAAGGATGCCTAATTTTTTTGTTCATTACCTATTACTTTACTTTACCCATTCACTCCATCTACTGCCCATCTGAAATCACCATCCAGAATGCATTTGAGGCTATAGTCATAATTCTTCTACAAGGGAATTATGTAGTGATTCTACACAGAGAATTAATCAACTTCTAATGAGCTTGTGGAGTTTGCAACTTCTGTATTGGCAGAGTGCATCAAATGCAGCACGTGAGAATAGATATACTAGATATACTATACCCTAGTATAGAGAGGGAATCAGGAATTAGATCAGGAATATACTCTAGTTCCCCGCAAATTATTAACCTTTGGTTTTATATTTGTGAAGCCAGTGGATGAACTGATGTGAGCTGCAAAGCCAGGACTTCAGCTGAATCACTGGAGAATGAATTGCGCATCCAGAATGCCCAAGATAACGTGAGAAGCCAGGAGCACACATCAGGCTGTGAAGATCCAGTTTGAGTTGTGATGGCTACTAACAGAGTTCTCACATGTTTGTTTACTACACATTATACTTTAATGGGAACTAGTGCTAGTTAAAATTTCCTACTGGGGTGCTTTTGTTGGGGAACATCACAAGCAGTCTGCCTCAAAGAACTTTGCAAATTCATCCAAATGCAATTATCTATCTTTTACAGCGGGGGAAACAGAAGCATATAAAAGTGTTCAAGGTCATTCAGCAAACCAATGCCAGAATGGGATAAAAAACCTTGAATACCAGTCCAGTTCTCTACCTGATGTAAGACACTAACTTTAACAGTATTGCTCTTTAGCCCGAAATGTCCTCTGCACACAATATTGCTCATAACACCACTTGGCATATTACTTAGCCATAAAAGACAAACGATGACAATTTGACAATAGCTACGTTTAACAGCCTATATTAGTTTAGATGAGACATCATGAAGATATTTGCTGTTGTGATAAATACAATGTGAAGATGTAAAAACTGCAATACAGGCAAGACAAAGTTTTTGTGATCTTTACGCTTCTAAAACTTAGGTCAGAAAAATTACTGGTATGTAATTTATGCCATTTTCAAGATAAAAAGCAAATTGGTTGTGTATCTTTTGGGGTTATTCTTGCCTCGCCATGCCTTGTATTTCAATAATTAACATGAGATGTCAAGCTATTCCCAGTTTACAGTATCTCTGATGTCTGACTGGTAAGAAGTCATGGACTAATAGATGGAAAAAGTCTATTATAATAGCTATTTAATCTCTCTGAGAACACAGGGAATTCATGGGACTTTTATTATACTGCGTGATAAAATTAGCGTATGCTCTGGGGATAAATCTGGTCAAATGGAGAACAGAGTTGGTTAAAATCACTTTTCAGGGAAAAAACTATTTTTTTTGTTGTACTCAAACTTTTTTGCTAGGAAAATGAGCTTATGGCAAAGCTGCCAGCTTGGAAGGAGAGAAAATGCTCAGACTTGATCACCTGCAGCCCACAAAGGAGTACCGACTTGTGTCCACTTGCTAGGGTAACTGCAGGGTATCGAACAACACCACAAAACCCAGCTCAAAAGGCAGAATCAATCCGCTTTTGCATGTCCTGTATTTGTCTTACTGAGCCATGAACTCTCCTAGAGTCCAGACATAAGGAGACAGAAACCAAAGCTTTTGGGCTCCTTATTTCCATACTAAGGTGGAAGCAATAGCAAAACCCCCAGACTGTTCCGTTTTCTTGCCTACTCCAGCTCTTAGTGTCTGCCTCTGATTAATGCCTTACTCCTCAAGTGGTCCTCACTGACATCAGTAGGGAAGGCAGCACACCCAACATTGGGAAAGGAGTTGAGTCTGGGCTTTGTGCTATAATAGTGAATGAAGATTAGTAAATAACAGTATTCTGATAGTTTCTAATGTAAATAATGTAGAAGGACTTAGCCACAACATATCACAGAGGATTATGGTCTTTAAGATACTAAAAGTTTCATAAACACACAATAAATGAGACATAAATATATTTTAGCAGGTTCCTCATCATTTAGTACTACATCGGTATCAAAACCCCCGGAAAAATTAGTTTCCTGCATGTGTTGAATAAAGGCAGCCTCCTTGAAATAAATGGTGACCAAACATCATTATAATATTTACTTTTATCTAAATTCGCCGCTTCTTTCCACTAAAAGCATGGCTTGATTTTATTCTGCAGTTCCTGAGAAGTTATTAATGTTCCAGGATAGTTATATTATAGACTATGCAGACTTCAATCACTAAAATACTGAACTGTTTTCAAATTCATTTGAAGGGAATCCTTAACTATTTCCACAACTAAGGGACAAGTGGGTGTACATTGTGTTTCCACGTAATTTGTGCACCAAACATGCTAGGACTGCATGGAGGAAAAAAGAAAAGAAGGATTGTCCAGAACTTATTTTGGAACTACCTGAAAGCAAATAACAATGTGGTCTTGAATTAAGCCAGTAAAGAAGAATGTGATAGCGGACGGTGGTATTCAAGTCTCAGGAGCATGCCTGATTCTGTCTTTGCATTGGTAGCTTTGGGTGTTTGGATTTGGGTTTTTTTTCAGTCAAAAAAAATCCCAAACAAACTTAATGATGATGCATGCTCTGGGGCTATCAGTACACTGGTGCTGTACAGACAGCACTCCTGTATTCCCTAAAAGCATTTGTGAGGACCGTACCACTAATACAGCAAAAGACTGCAACATATTTTACCTTAAATATTTTAACAGTTCCTTTTGCTTCCTTAAAGCAAAGTACGTGCTTAAAAATAACCACATGAGGTCAAAACAAGAACTAACTCTAGAAACTCTTATTCTACAGCTATAGATTGGATTTGGGGTTTATCCCTGTTTTTTTTTTTCCAAGCCTTCCTAATTTAGCAGGACTCATGCTAGCTTGTGTACACCTGACGTGCGGCAGTTGCACCTTTGAACAGAGGGCAGACATAACCTACAGCACTGCCACAACCTGGAGACAAAACGGAGCTACAAGCACCTCTTGCCAAACAGGGATAACGCAGCCCTCAGCAGGTAAGACTTGGGAGGGAGGGGGATTTCTCTGCCCGAGAGATCTGTGCTTCCTCTTTGCCTTTCCCAAGTGCCTCAGCATCTGGAAAGCTACAGCACATTACAGTAGGAATCTACAGTCCCTTCTTTGACGTGCACAAAGGGTGCTGGTCAACAGCTTTCTACCAGCCCTGCCCTAAATCTTGTCACAGGTGAGTGAATACAGTAGTATTTCCTGGCTCATGAATAC